TGTTTCTCTTCTCAGTAATGAAATAATCGGCAGTTCATTCATGTGTGAAGATCTGACCTTATTAAAATATTTTTGAAATATGATCAAAACGGAGGAAAACATCTAAATTAACTATTAGGGCCCTCCCCTGCACTGTCAAAAGCAGCTGCAGACTCACCCCTTCAGGCGCAAGGGAGAATGAAGAAAACTAAAGACACAAGGGAAAGATTAATCCAAAGGACTAATGGACCACAACTACCACAGCCTCCACCAGACTGAGTCCAGTACAACTAGATGCTGCCTGGCTACCACCACTGACTGCTGTCACATGAATCACAATAGAGGGTCCCGGACAGAGCTGGAGCAAAATGTAGAACAAAATTCTAACTCACAAAAGAAGACAAGACTTACTGGCCTGATAGAGACTGGAGAAACCCCAAGAATATGGCCCCTGGACACCCTTATAGCTCAGTAATGAAGTCACTCCCGAGATTCACCATTCAGCCAAAGATTAGACAGCCCCCATAAAACAAAACGAGACTAATGGGGCACAACAGTCCAGGGACAAGGACTAGAAGGCAGGAGGGGACAGGAAAGCTGGAACCCAAGGTCAAGAAGGGAGAGTGTTGACATGTCATGGGGTTGTTAATCAATGTCATAAAATAGTATGTGTATTAACTGTTTAATGAGAAGCTAGTTTGTTCTGTAAACCCTCATCTAAAGTACAATTTAAAAAAAAAAAAGCAGCTGCAGAGCAGTATTATCATCACTCCCATTTTATGGGAAAGGGCCCTGAGGCTTATAACAACTTCCCTGGGGTTATATGGCTATAACCAAAGGCAGAGTCAAACTCACTTGCACGTCCACAGCCTCCTCATTACCAATTTATCATCACCATCCACAGGTCTTGTTCCAAGGGCATATCTTCCTCTAAACTGCCCCTAAAAAGCTTAAGAATTCAGAGACTGAAGGTGCCAAAAACACAAAAATAGAAAATCCTATGGTGATTGCTCCTTAAAACCAGAGGAGAGAAACAGAAAATCAACATAGTGGACCAGAGTAAAGATATGCAAAGACTATTTTATAAGTGACAAGTAACTTCCGGCCTAAAGAAAGAACAGATCAACAGATTCCTCAGAAGGAGATTGGAAGGTAGAAGTAAAAGTAACAGAGCCTGAGACAAAAGTGATCAAAGCCCCTGAAGCACTGCCCAGGGAGAATGTTGGCCAGCTCTCCCAATCTTTAATGAGGAGAGATGTTTAAAACTCTCAAATTCAAGAATTCTGGAAGCCATAAAGAAAAAGACCAACACATTTGACCACATAAAAATTAAACATTTCTATAAGGTAAAAATGTTGTAACAAAATCAAGAGGTGAATGAACACAGATGAGGGGAAAATATTTGAACCTATGTGTCAATATATTACTACTACCACACACATTCTGCCCAAAATAATCAAGGACAAACAACCCAACAGAAAAAAATGAACAGGAGAGGACATAAAAAAATCATGGAAGAGAAAATGCAAACATCCCAAAAAGATACAGAAAAATTCTCAATCTCATCTGTAGTCTGGAAATCTGCAAATCAAAACACAAATGTACTATGTACAACCAAAAATCTCACAGGATGTGGTTCCTTGGTTTGGAGGTTTAGGGTCATGGTTTCATGGAACCTCACAGTTAATTGGCCTAGTAACGTGTTTAGTGCTTCTATTCTACCTCCTAGTTAGCTACACAGTGCCTGGCATCTTAAAAGCTTGCAAGTGGCCATCCAAGGCACAACTATTGGTCTTTATTCACCTGGAGTAACAGAGGAAGAAAGAGAGTCAGGAATAGGAGGAAGATATGGAATGTATGGCTAATTGCCTCCTTTGTCACAATACCAGAAGAATTGAATGGTGCCCGGCTACCATTACTGAACATTTTGATCAAAGAGTCTATAGAAGAATCCTGATCAAAAGCGGAAAAAAGCAGAACAGAATTTCAAATTCTCATGGACTCCAGACTTCCTGGAGCCATAGGGGCTGGATGAACCCCTGAAACTATTGTCCTGAGATAATCTTCAAAACTTAAACCAAAAATTTCCCCTGAAGTCTTCTTAAAACCAAATAATAGATTAGCTAAACTAGTAAAAAATACCTGCCTTGAGCATTACGCTCTTTTAAGAATAATCTATATGGGATCAAAATAACAACAGCAACTTGAGAGATTAGATAGGAACCCTAGGGGGCAGTGAGTTTATGTTAATGGAGGAGGAACAACTCAGAAAAGGAGGGTGAGAATGGTTGTACAACTCGAAGAATGTAATCAATGTCATTGAACTGTACATGTAGAAACTGTTGACTCAACAAACTGTTGGTGTATATTTTGATGTGTATATTCTCAACAACAAAATAAATTTTTTAAAAATGTACTGTTTTTATAGTCACACTGAAAAAAAGAAAAGAAAACTAAATTAAAATAATCTTCCAAGAGTGGTGAGTGTATAGGGAAACTGCTATTGTTGCACATTGGTTGGGGATGTAATAATCCTACATAATGCTTAGAACATAATTTGGCCATATCTAATAAAAATAAGTATGCCCTTGATGTCAAGCCCCACTTTGGAGGATTGTATAATGAGGCATTTTAAGTAGTGGCCGAAAAAAAAAGAAAAACCCTCGAACTTCATCCTAGGGGAGTGACTGAATGAATTATGGACATCCATATGAACACTGCGCAGGTATTAAAAAGAACCAAAATAGCATTATTTGTGGGACAGTAAAATGTAGTGGCCAGTGGCCAGCACTGTGTATTCACAAGCTAGATTGCCCGAGTTCAAATTGCTACTCCCACAATTCCTAGTTCTCAACCTTGGGCAAATTAATCCCATCTCAGTTTCTCATCTACCCACTGGTGAAAACAGTACCTGCCTCACACAGTAGTTGTGAGGTAAATGAAATAAAGCACAGGACCTGGCATCTAGCGGGTGATGGAACGATGTTCATGATATTCTTTCAAAACGGGAAGGGGAGCAAAAATTGTATAGAATAAATCTATTTTGGTTAAATATATATACTTTTTTATTATTATTTTAAGGCACACTCTGTGATGGTGAGCGGAGAGGAGAAAATTTTGACTTCTTTCTACTTACCTGTGTTGTTTGGCATGTTACAAAGAACATCTATTGCTTTTTGCAGTTTGGAAGAAAAATCCAATCATTTTTGGAAGTGGGATGAGTGGGGGTACTAGCGGGGGTGTGGGTGTACAAAAGCATGATTAAAGACAGGGAAGTGAATCTGGAAACTGAGAAGTTTGGTGGGTTTGGAGCACACAGCACACAATGGAAAGCAGTAGGAGATGAGGCTGGGAGTGGGTAAGGAAGGGTCATATGTGCAAGGAGTGTGGATTTTATCCAGATGTACATGGAAAGTTCTTTGGGAGAAAGGCATGCAAAGTTTGGCTGTATTCTGGCAATCGGAAAGACTAACACCCTTCCCACCAAAGCAAAACTTTCAGTGGATGGACAATAGAGCACACAAGTGGCACAGTCGGGGAAATCTCTTAGACATAACCAAACACCTCATGGGATGACTTTCACAGGCTAGAAGGCAAAGGACCACAGACTCAGGGGACATCTACATCAACTGGCACAACACAGTTCTTAAAGACAATGTTCTACATTCTACTTTCGTGAGTAGTGTCTGGGGTCTTAAAAGCTTGCAAGTGGCCATCTAAGATACAACTATCGGTCTCTTCTAGTTTGGAGCAAAGGAGAGGGGAAAATACTAAAGACCCAAGGGAGTAATTAGTACAAAGGACTAATGGACCACATGAACTACAGCCTACACCACCCCAAGACCAGAAGTAGATGGTGCTTGGCTACCACTACCAACTGCTCTGACTGGGATTACAATAGAGGGTCCCAGACAGAGCGGGAGAAAAATGTAGAACAAATTATCAAATTCGAAAAAAAAACACCAGGCTTACTGGTCTGACAGAGACTGGAAGAACCCCCGAGACTATGGCCCCTGGACACCCTTCTAACTCAGACTTGAAGCCACTCCTGAAGTTCACCTTTCAGCCAAAGATTAGGCAGGCGTATAAGACAAACGATATAACACACGTGAGGAAAGCGCTTCTTAGATCAATCAAGTGTACAAGATCGAATGGGCAAAACCCGCCCAGGAACAGAGACAAGTCAGCGGAAGGGGACAGGAGAACTGGAGGAATGGACACGGTGAACCCGGGGTGGAAAGGGAAAGGGAGAGAGTGCTGACACAATGCAGGATTGCAGCTAATGCTGTAAACAAATTTGTGTATAAATTTTTGAATGAGAAATTAACTTGCTCTGTAAACTTTCACCTACATCACAATTTAAAGAAAAACTTTCAGCAGCTCCCCTTTATTCTTTGTAGGGGTAAAGTTCAAACCTAAGTCCTTGAGCTTTATCTCCAGCCTCTCACTCCACCCCACCCCAGCCTCAAACTCTTCTCTCCAGCCACACTGAACTATTGGTAGTTCTTAGAAAGCTCTGCTTTCTCTCTCCAGCTTCCACACCTTTGCTCAGTCTGCAGCTTCTGCCAGCAGTGCCCTTATCCTGAGCTTCTCCTTGTTCTGCTTGGCTAACTCCACAAATCTCAGTTAAAACTCTCCTGTCTTGGGAAGCCCTCCTCAAAATCCCCTAAAACTCAACTCTCCATCTAGGTCCTCCGTATCACCCCCCTGGGATTAGCCAGAAATGAAGACCTCTGACACTGGTGTGTAATTGTCAGTTTATCATCTGCCTCTCCAACTAGGCTGTAAATCCTTAAGGGCTGGTGCTTGATACTCTTTCTTGATTCTTCAGTACCTAGCATGAAACACAAAGCAGTCAGGAAGCTAAAATCTCAGCTAAATAAATGAATGCCTTTAAATATACAAGTCATCTAACCCATTCCCCTTTCTTGCATTCCATGTTTTCCAAGAAAACTTCTGACTTAATTCCCTGTCCTATTTATGTCAACCCATAAGGAGAAAATTCACAATAGATCACATACCTTCATGCAAGTTTGGGTCCATAGGATAGTTATATTGCTCACTGAAAACAAATAAATTGGCATGTAGATTTTATACGTCCGTCTCGTATCTTGGTTAATGTAAATCTGTCCTGGAGAAAAAAAAAAAAAAACTCTACGTGCTGGCAAAACCAGATTTTTGAGCATTGAACCCTGAACTATGAACTATGGCAAATTAATAAGGTAAAGGCTTCTTGTGAGGTGCATCCAGACCTTAACCCATTCACTCATTCAGCAAGTACTTAATAACCTCCCCCATTAAATGCCAATCTTTGTAAAGCTTTGAGGATTTAGCAGGAGACAAGACAGACGGGAGCCCTACCATCATGGAATTACATTCTACTGGGCATTAGGGGAAGGACCGATGATAAGCATGTAAAAAATAAGATAATTTCAGGTAGTACTAAATTATATGAAGAAAATTAAGTAGGATGGAAAATGACTAAGGCTGGGGGTAAGTGCTCTTTAGATGAGTGATCAGGGAAAGTTTTCTCCAAGGGATAGACATCTGAACTGAGACCTAAGTGATGAGAATGACTCAGTCTTGAGAAAATCTATGGGTAGAGAATTCCAGGCCAAGAGAACGGCCAGTGCAAAATCTTTAAGGAATGAGCTTAAAGTATTCAAAAAAAGGTAGACAATCAATACGGCTGGAGCATAATGAGCAAAAAGGTGATTTGAGAGCGATCCAAGGGTAGATATAGGACAGGCCATATAAGGCATACAGGTCATCATAAGGACTTTGGATTTTATTTTAATTGCAATAAAAAAAATTTTTTGAAAACATTAGCCAAGTGTGGTGAAATGAGTTTCATTTATGTGGTCTTTTGCTTTGGTTCTGTAAAAAAAAGAGAAAAAGGAAGAAACTTGGGAGATTTTTCCCCTGGGCCTTGAGGAGTTGTTACAGTTGCCCTTGTTACATTTACCCAGGGAGGAAGCCAGTCCCTGCCAGCAAAAAATGTCAGTTATTATGCAAATAGATGAAGCCACTTGGGAGGGGATTGGCCAGTTTAGTCCAGTTGGGAGTTGGTCAGTTATTGTGCAAATAGGGTGCTTAAAATCCACCCAATAGGATTGAGTCACTTCCCTACATAAGCAGCCATTCCACAGAAGCTGAAGGGGGACCTCACTACCATCAAGAAGAGGAGCCTGGAGCAGAGCACATACTTCAAACCCAGGGGTCCCTGAGCTCAGAACTTCCTAGACCCAAGAGACAGAGCTGTAACACTGGAGCAGCAGCAGCAGAACCAGGAGACTGGTGCAAGGTGGCATGTCAGAACTTTTCTTCAGTGTGAATGGGTTAAGGTCTGGATGCACCTCACAAGAAGCCTTTTCTTCAGTGACGATAACAAAGTCAAAGCCACTCAAAACTTCTGCTAGTGCACGTGGAGTGAAGCATTAATTTTACCCAAAGAATTTGGCCTCCCCAGAGGTAACCTATAAACCCTTGGAATTTACGAAGTGATTGGAGTATCTTTGTTATTCATGAAGGGATCCAGACCTTAACTGATAGTTTACGCAGATGACCAAGGGTGGGGGACTAGCCATGCCAAAAACACCTGCCATGTGATATCAGCCCAAACTCCAGGTAGGGGAGTGGGCTGAAGGTCACGTTCAACCACATGGCCTATGATTCAATCAATCGTGCCTACGTGATGAAACCCCTATAAAAATTCCAGATATCTAAGTTCAGAAGAGCTTCTCTGAGTGACAAAATACATACTGATGTGCCTGAGGGTGTGACATCCTTATTCCACTGGGAGAGGACACGAAAACTTCCCTTTTGAGACCCTCCCAGACCTCGCCCTATATGTCTCTTCTTTTGTATCGTTTTTTGCTATAACAAAACTGTAATCATAGCGTTAAAAAAAATCAAAACTCAAAAGAAATTGAAATATAAGGTTTATTCTGAGCAGTTATTCTATATGCCTATGGGGAGATCATTCTGATTCCAAAAAAAGAGCAAATGGCTCTTTTTTGCAATCTAAGCAACAACTCATTTTCTAAAGATTCAAGTGCTTATAAAACATAGCTTTGTGTCCTCAAAAAAAAAACAAGAAGTACCATTTCCTTCAAATGTTAGCGATCTATAGGCACAGAGCTTCTATGACAATAATCACTTCTCTATTTTGGCCCTGGTGGTGCAGTGGTTAAGTGCTACGGCTGCTAACCAAAAGGTGGCAGTTTGAATCCACTAGCCACTCCTTGCTATGGGGCAGTTCTACTCTGTCCTATAGGGTCGCTATGAGTTGAAATCGACTCAATGGCAATGGGTTTTTTAATCTTAACTAATTTTCTCATATAATGGCCGTATTTTATGTAATTGATTTACGAATGTTAAAACCAAGGCTTGGCAAAACAGGTAACTTATAGCACAGGAAGAGACAGGACAACAAGTCTGACCTCCTCGAGTCAATTCTCAACGTAGTCATTTACCGTCTGTGAAACTCTGGCAATAGCATATCTTGAAAAACTGTTTAAAGCAATAGAGCTATTCCCTTTCTCTTGGACTTAACTCTTCTGATGTTTTACACATATATATACTGCCCATTAATAGTCCCTTGGGTCCCTGGGTGGTACAAACGATTAACGCACTCGGCTGCTAACTGAAAAGCTGAATGTTCGAATTCACTCAGAGACACCTCAGAAGAAAGACCTGGCAATCTACTTCTGAAAAATCAGCCATTGGAAACCCTATGGAGCACAGTTCTTTTACTCTGACACACATGGGGTCAACTGAACATATCTTCAGGCTGAAAGAATTTAGGAGAGTTCACAGTATATATTGTGTTTATAAGCATAGCACTGGTAAGGACTAGAGTGTTTAGAGTTTGGCAGACCTGGTAAACCACATCCCTCTTCCCTACCAAGTTGTGAAGCAACTGAGAAATAGGCAAAAGAGTAGACAGATGAGAACTAACTATCACTCTTACTGATAAAGCTAATACTAGAGAAAAGTCAGCTTCGGTGTACAGCAGCCGTGTGCCTCCCAATACTAAACCCTAAACCACTGAATCAATGGCAGTCCAGGACAAGAGCAATTCTCCCCTCCACCCACCGCACAGACCTGTCCCATAAACTCTGCAGCATAAAGGAGCATCACGCCTGAGGGCAGCCTTGTTCCCGAAGGGCTAAGGTTTCTCACTCCGTTTCTCACCAGCAAGTATCTTACTCCATGGGGAAGGGGGAAAGGAAGGAGTGGCATGAGAAGCCAGGAGTGTTAACAGAACCCCAGGAACTTTGTCACATTCTCTACCTAATTTTATTCTCTTACCCTAGTAGTCTTCAAACTGGAGTAGGTCTCTTCTGGGATTCCACAAGTACTTTCCAAGGAGAACACAGGCATAGCTAATTTTAAGAAAATTAATTTCCATTTATTCAACTTTCACCTACTCTTTCCCAAATTGAGCTGCCTGAAACATGACTGAGGTTGAGATGTCACAACAATTCTATTTTTCCAACTCCTTTTTAAAAATGTTCTTTCCTGCTTATAAAAGACAGGCATCTTTGTACCATTTCCAGATCTTGCTATGGCAAATTGCTCTAGTGTACAAAAAGTCTCTAAGACACCACACAAAAGAACAATTCTAAATATTGACGTCAGTATTTGATCAATACACGATAAACCTACAGGAGCATTTCCTGGCTTTCCTTTTCTTACACATATTTCTGCTAAGAGCAAAGCATGGTGCTAGAAATGGGATATTTTGGTCTGCACTGGGGTGTTCTGAGCTCAGAAATATATTGTATATTATGATAATTTTTGTGTAATGCTATTTCCTCTTCCATCCTCTGATTATGTCAAAGAAAGCTCTGAGAGAGCAAAGAGAAATATTGAAAGAGTCAGCGTCCTATTTCATCCAGGTAACAAACTCACCACAAGGTTTCATGGTTCATGTATCTATCTCAGAATTAAAATACACAAGATTTGTGGAAAGCATCCTGGGAAATACCAGCCAGCTCTGAGGCACACCTGCTCCGTAATGAGAAAGAATTTGATGCAAAATCTCATTCTCCGTATCTCAGTTGCACATTTCATATGATTTCGGGGAGAAGGATGTAAAAAGTCCCAAATTTCTTTCCAACAGATGAAGGTTACATGTAAAAAGAACATAGGTCAGTGGTAAGTTAATGTTTTATATTTTCTTAAACAATTATTCATACTTATAAGAGAAAATATTTTCATTAATTTTTGCCTAAATTTATATTCATCTTTTTTTACCCAACCACAAGCCTTCTCATCACTTGTCAACCACTTCTCACTCATTATTCATTCCTACCTTTCATAAAACAGATTTAGATGTAGATTTCTGCTATAAATAATGCACTTAACAATATTTATTCATTCACCACCATGTTTTCCTCTTCTATCTCCTTCAAACAAAAAGTTGCATTCATCTACAGATACACGAACTAATTAGGAGTGAAAAGCTCCACTCATTTCACTGAGGGACATATTTCCAATAAAACTTTAATTCTTCTTTTTAGTAATTATTTCTAAAAATGTTTAATGTAGTTCAATTATACACATAATAATTGTAATGATAAGTCAATCCAAAATAAATTTTGACACTTAGAACTTTATGGTCATAGGAATTTTTTAAAATTATAAACAAATTTTTATTTCAGAGAAGAATGATAGGGTAAGCAAAAAAGTACATTTGAGCATAAAATATATTAAAGAGAAAATTCTGTGGAGAACTGGAATGAAAATACAAGTTCAGAGAGAGAAAGGAATAATGTAAAATTTCTGTGAAAATGGAATATGGTGAGTATCCAACTTCTATGGGATTTGGATATCACTTGATGCATTTTTAAATGACATAAACCCTTTTATTAAAAAATTCATATTTACATTAAACTAGAAATTACATCTTTTCCAACTAAGAATTTTACAAAGTTTACATGTCATCTTAAAAATTATTGTAGAAGATAAGTGAGCAAAAAAGTTTGAAGACCAATATCTTAACCATTTTGGCTTATCCACTCAGATCAGCTTGGGATATGGTTATCCCCCTTGGGTGAAAAGTCAACAGTCTGCTCATCTTCATGAAGTCACTTCTCTGATACTGATTACAACTCTTTTGTGGAACCTCCTGGGGTCACCAGTGAAGTGCAGATTTTGATTATTCCTGAATGGGTCAGAACAATACATCAATTAAATCAGCTCCAATACTATTCTGTACCCAAGGCTGTAATCCACAACCTGTTCTATGGCCATCTCATAAGACGTCCAGTCACTTTGTCCAACAGAAGTTCTGAAAAGGGGCCAAAAGATATCATGAAAATATTTTAATAATTAAGAGCCAACAAGAAAATATCCTCCTTTGAATATGACCCCCTCCCAATAAGAATCTCCCAGGGAGAAAGCAAAAGTTCAGAGATTAAAGTCCCCTTCCCTTGTAAATTATAGCCCAAAGCAATCAGTACCAATTTCATGTTAAAGTACAAAATTATTAGCGTCCAACACTGAATTCTCTTGCTCTTGTGAGTTAAAGTTCAAACAACAGGCTTTTTCACTCCCTGGAAGTGTACTTAGCTCCCAAAACCAAAATTCCCCTTCTCCTAGCGAGCCTGTCCTGCTAAGCTTACTCTAGGCTTCCTGGGGCAAGGTCAGAACCCTGTAAAACTTGTGGTACGGAGTAGCAGAGCAGAAAGCATTCTTTCTGCGTGTGGCCTGGCTCCAAGAAAAAGAGAAGAAGAAAGTGGGCTGCACGTGCCAAACTTACACATGAGGAAACTTGCCGGCAGCAGTGGGGTAGAGTGTGGGATGTTATGTTAGCCGTACTCCCTCCACATTTTAAGAGTGTGTGGGACAGGAGTATTTGCCCCTAAAAGAAAGAAAAGAATGACAAGATGCAGTTCCTCTTATTTAAAAAATATCTATTGAGTATCAAGATGCAAATTTCTGAGCTAGGTTCGCTGGGAAACTCATAAGTGAATCAGAGCTGGATATTGTCTAACAACCAATCACTAACATTTGTCACATATTCATATATGTCATTGCCACATTTTTTAGGCTTTTGTTACAGCAATGCTCTGCTTCCAGTACCAATTTCTGTATTAGTCCGTATAGATTAGGTTTTGTTTGATAGCAAACAACCCCAAATATCTGTTACTTAGAACAGCAGAGATATATTTCTCACTCATATGATCATGTGTGTTAGCTGGCGGCTCTTTTCCACCTTGTCCTCACTCTGGGACCCTGACTGATGTAAGCTGTCACCATTCAAAACATTGTTGGGGTGGTGGATAAAAGAGGGCCACAAATTCTTAGTCACCATCCTGCCCCCCTTTCAGCCCCATGGAGAGAAGTTCACTTCCCATCCCCTTGAAACTGGGCTGGCCCTATAACCCCTTTAACCAGTAACCAAAACCAAACCAAACCAAACCCATTGCTGTCGAATTGATTTTGACAGCATGGTAACCCTATAGGACAGAGCAGAAGTGCCCCATAGGGTTTCCAAGGAGTGGCTGGTGGATTCAAACTACTGACCTTTTGGTTAGCAGCTGAGCTCTTAACCACTTTGCCATCAGGCTCCATAGAATGTCAACTACAGACCTAAGGCTTTCAAAGACCCAGAAGCTTTTGCTTTGGCACTTGACAGAAACCATGTAAGGAGACAGGCTATTTTGCTGGAGAAACCACATGAAGAGGAAATGCCCTGGGACAACATGGAGGAGAAAGGCTGTCATGTGACACCCTAGTTGAGCCTCCAAATGACTCCAGTCCCAGCCCATACCTGGCTCGAACCACATAAGAGACCCCAAAAGAGATTAGACAATTGATCACTGAGCCTGGTCAACACACAAAACCATCAGACATAAAGTTTATTGTTTTAAGTCACTAAGAATTGGGGTGATTTGTTATGCACCAATAGAGAACTAAAACATTCTGTCCCCATAGGAAAAGGAAAGAGAGCATGGTATATTGTGCACAGGCTCTTAGAGCTTGTTTGGAAGTGGCACACAACACTCCCAATTACATTTCATTGGCCATGCCTGAGTTTGGCAAGTTGGGAAATGCAAGTCTACTATATGCCTGGGAGAAGGACTGGAAATATTTTGTGGACAGTACTAAATTCTACCAGAGGGAGGTCAGGGCTAGATGTACATCTTCCATACATAGGACAAGTAAATCAGTAAACAGATGAAATTTCAAGGAAGAGAGGATAATGAGAGGAGAAAAGAATGTAGATAACAGAAATTTGCAGACTGGGCAGGGTGGGGATATGAGGGTGAAAAGGAGTTAGAAAAACAGCATTTAGATGGGCAAAAGGAGAAGTCTTGGGAGGCAAAACAAAATAGTCAAGAGCATAAAATAAAAGGCAAAAATGGGTGGTATAGTCAAGGCATCGATAGGCATTCAAGGCAGAGATTAGTACAGGCTGATACAGCCACAGGTCTCGGGGAGGAGGTAAAATTAGAGAAAGAATTAGGAGGTAACAGAATTTGGACAGCTGGAAAGGAAAGGGAAGAGCTCTACCTTTCCAGCAGGAAATAGAAAATAGTATGAGTAAAGTCATGGAGTTGAGAATGAACATAGCATATTGGGGGAATGGGACTAGGTATGGTAAGCAGCAGCACATCACTGTAATAGAAAAAAAAAAAAAACACTTGCCATCAATTCTGATTCATGGTGACCTCAGGTGTGTCAGAGTAGAACTACGCTCCACAGGGTTTGCAATGGCTGTTATCTTTTGGAAGAAGATCGTCAGGCCTTTCTTCTGAGGTACCTCTGGGTGAACTCAAACCACCAACCCTTTGGTTAGTAGTCAAGCACTTAACTGTTTGTACCACCCAGGGGCTCCTATCACTGTAATAAAAACCAAAACCAAACCCGGTACCACTTGGTCAGTTCTAGCTCATGGCAATCCCATGTGTTACAGAGAAGAACTGCTTTATAGGGTTTTCTTGGCTGTAATCTTTACAGAAGCAGATCGCCAGGCCTTTCTACTGCAGAGCTGTTGGGTGGGTTCAAACTGCCGCCAAACTTTAGGTTTGTAGATGTTATAGACTGAATTGCATCCCCCCGCCCCAAAAAAAAGTGTGTGTCAGCTTGTCTAGTCCATGATTCTCAGTATTGTGTGACTGTCCACCATTTTGTCATCTGATGTGATTTTCCTATGTGTTGTAAATCCTACCTCTATGATGTTAATGAGGTGGGATTAGCAGCAGTTATGTTAATAAGACAAGACTCAATCTACAAGATTAGGCTGTGTTTTAAATCAATCTCTTTTGAGATTTAAAAGAGAGAAGTGAGCAGAGAGACAGGTGGACCTCAAACCACCATGAAAGAAGCACCGAGAGCAGAGCATGTCCTGTGGACCCAGGGTCCCTGTGCTGAGAAGCAACAACTCCAGGGGAAGACTGATGACAACGACCTTCCCTCAAACCCAAGAGAGAGAGAAAGCCTTCCCCTGGAGCCAGCACTCTGAATTCGGACTTCTAGCCTCCTAGACTGTGAGAGAATAAATTTCTCTTTGTTAAAGCTATCCACTTGTAGTATTTGTTATAGCAGCGCTAGATAACTAAGACAGTAGATGAGGACAAACGGTACTACCCAGGGACCTTTTATCACTGTAATAGGGGCCCTGGTGGCACAGTGGTAAAGAGCTATGGCTGCTAACCAAAAGTTTGGCAGTTTGAATCCACCAGCCGCTCCTTGGAAATCCTATAGAGCAGTTCTACTTTGTCCTATAGGGTTGCTGTGAGTCTGAATAGACTCAACGGCCATGGGTTTTTAATAGTGGATTAGGAGTCCCTGGATGGTGAAAACAATTAAGCACTCGACTACTAGCCAAAAAGTTGGCCGATCGAACCCACCCAGAAGCACCTTGGAAGACAGGCCAGGTGATCTGCTTCTGAAAAGTCACAGCCTTGAAAACCCTATGAAGCCGTTCTACTCTGCACACTTGGGATTACCGTGAGTCAGTTAATAGCAACTAACAATAACAGTGGATTAGGCTGCTTTGGAAGAAGCCATTTGTGGATTTACAGAGGGCCTTGAGTGCCAATCTTGAGTTTCCTCCTTTAAACAGCTGAGCACCCACAGAGATAAGTGTCTGAGCAAGGGAAATCAGTGTACAGGATTAGTTCCTTCATGTAGGAATGAAATAGCGAAAAACTGAGAGCAGGTCACTAGTCAGGAAGTTACTGCGGTATTCTAAGCAGGAGGTGACACATGACCAATGAGTATCCTACTACTAGAGAGTGTTACCTAGGGAAGACAAAAAGGAAGAACTCTCCTAGACCAGTTCAGGAGGATTAAAATCAGAATAAGCTGCTCAGAGGACTCAAAAAAAAAAAAAAAAAGCGTTCAAGTGTGGAGAAGTTGAGACGTTTATTTTATCAAGGGTATAAAAAAAATGTTTTAACCTTTTACTTCCCGTGGCAGATCACGTTAATTATCTTCCCAACATCCCCCATCCCACTTCCGTGACAACAGAACTTCAATATCATTGCTCAATTCCTCTCTTCCTTCTAAACCAGTCAGAGAAAGGAAAACTATATAAGTACGTACACAATATACGTACGTACACACACACACACACACACACACACACTCACTCACTCACTCCAGCTCCAAGGTAACTCCTGATTGGTTTAAGCCAGTGGTCCTCTAGGGAGTATGTATATGTGTTTGGGGGGCACAGGTGAAAAGAGGGTTGGGTTTTTGGTGTAATTATGCCTGGGGTGTGCTCCTGGCAGTTAGTGAGAAAGTACCAGGGATGCTAAATGTCCAGCAAAGCACAGGACAGTCCTGCATAAGAACTGTCAAAAGCCAGATAAACACAGATAAGCAATCACGGTAGTCCCATGTCCCCTTGTCAATTACTGCTTTAGAGATAAGCTAGTCACCCATTTCTGGACAATAAAATATAAGGAGTCATCTGCTATAGGGTCTCTAAGGTGGTTTCCTCCTGCCTACCAATGTTGTCACACCTGTATGTGATACCTGGAACTGCTTTTCCCCAAAACCAGTTTCTCCCCAATCTCCCTGTTTCCATTGTTGGCACTTGCACTTTCTGTTATCAAGTCCTAAAGCAATTCTGACCTAGCCTAATTCTTAACCTTAGGGTGACTATTCATTCAGGTTTGCCTGACACAATATGATTTCATTTCTGTTCTCCCAGTGTAATTATTAATACTGCCCCATTTCACTTCCTGAAGTATTCGAAACTAAAGGATAGATTTTATAGTCACCTTATTTATCCTCAGTCAAGTCCTGTTCACT